CAGCTTCAGCGGCTTCAGTGGCTTCGGCTTCAGCGGCTTCGGCTTCACCGGCGAGGGTCAAGCGAGTTCGTTCGGAGGCACCTCGAGGTAATGATTGCTGGGCTGTGCAGCGCCGAACTCGCATCGAGTACCTCTGGGAGCAGGCGCGCGAAGATGCCGAGATGGTGCTGCACAATGCATGCAACATGAACAACGGGGTGGAGGCGTGGCCAGGGCCGCTTTTCGACGCCGACGAGGCCGACGTTGAGGATCGGATCAGGCGCGTCATGGAGAGCGGCCGTCGGAGGGCCTACATAGGCTCGACTGTCGACCCAGCCTGGCGCTGGAAGGGCGGCTGGTGCTGGCGCAACGAGGAGGACGCCCTCGAGCCACCCAAGCGACCTGAGTGGATGGTAGGGCATGCCCACACCTGGGAGCGTCTAGTTGTGTTGGCAGCGGCGCCCCGCCGCGACATCCCCGGGCTCGAGACGTGGGCCATCCACGCGGGGCTTCGGATCGGCGGGCAGCTCCTGGCCAACAAGGCGCTGGACGGCCGGGGCTTTCCGAGCCGCGGGCCTCCGCTGTATGGTTTCATTTACATTTGCACGTAGCCTTGAGCACATCTCTAGGGCACATGTTTGATTTGTGCATGATCTTGTGGATTGGGCTGGCTTCGCAGGGTAGCGAGCCGAGCTCAGATGAGGTCACGTTGAATCATATTGCAGCGCCCTCTTCTGTATAATGATGTTATTATTATTATTATGATGTTTCAGCCGGTGCGAGCTGTTAATTCAACGTTGTGTCTGTCGGTGCTAACTGTGCTTGGACTTAGCCTCGGGCAATCTTACGATGTTAGTTGCCCTGTCGCGTGGAAGAACATGTCTCGGCGCGACCCTGATCAGGGGTGATTATCACGGAAGCAATGGCACCTCGAAGGGTTGGGATGAAGGGGGGGAGAAGAAGGATGAGGAGGAGAAGAAGGATCGCAATAAACAGCAATGCGATTCATAGCAATACGCACAGTGGAATGCATTACCATGGCGGGAACCAATGCCAGAGCAATGGAACGCATGCGGAAACAATTCAGACAACAGAAGCAACGGAATGCAATGCACGTGAATTCGTAGACACACACACACACAAAAGCAACGGCATCAGCAAATATCGAGACTGGTCTGCGCACATCAGCAAGTATAGAAACTGGGCTCCTTCCTCCTTCTCCTTCTGCCTCCTACCTTCATCACTCTTCTCTCTTTCCCTCCTTTCTTACCTCGTCGCTTCTCCTCTCCTCCACCACTCTCCTCCCATCTTGCCCTGTCCCTCACTCACTTCATTGCGTCCCTCCCCTTCTTTTTCCAACCTTGCGACCCATCCACGCATGCAAGCCAACTGCAACCGTGACCTCTCCGCTTGATCGAGCCGGTTCGCGGCAATCGTGGCTATCGACGCTGGCGCCGCTGTTCGCCTCGTTGGTCGTCGTTGCGTCCTGGCAGATACGTCCTGCCAGCTACGCTACGCATCCGCGGCCCATGGCTCCATGATTGCAGTTTTTCGGGTCGCGTCCAGCCGCCATGGCGACGAGGGGCCGATGGCCCAGGTCCCCGGGTGTCCGCAAGCGCTGTTGCGTGGGGAATGCGAGCAGGACAACCAACGACACGGTCCATCATCGCCCATACCAATGCCCGCTTCGGCGGCGCCTCGAGGTCTGAGGGATAGGTGGAGAAGGATGCGGAGGACGAGATGGGAGGCGGAAAGTTTGGATGAGCGATGTGCGCGCTGTTGTCCCCTTAGTTAGAGTCCAGCCGTTGTGTCCGAGCGTTGATGGGTCCCCTCGCGCACTGTCCCCTCGGGCCCTGGCCGTGCATGAAAAAACGTCGCATCGGCGTGGCCCAATCGGGCCGATGTGATAAACTAATGGGCCAAACCACTGGGCCCGCGCGCGGGGCCCGCCCGAAGGCCCACCCAATGGGCGCCGCCCATGCAGACCCCTGGTACTCAATTCCCACTATGTCCCACTGAATATACGCACACATATTGAAAAACATCGCCTGCTCTGACCACAGTGCTGGAGCCGCACCTGGAGCTCGACAAGGATTACGTCAAGACGTTGATGAACCTTGCTGCGCTCCTCGCCAAGCCTCCGTATAGAATGCACCGGGCTGCCAAAGCTCTCGAGGATTGGGTGAGTGGTAGATATGTCAGGGAACCCGTTCGGCCGATTCCTTTTTGTCGTCTTGGCCCTGTGTATACCCCCAAGAGTGCCTCCTTAGTTGTTGCCGGTCTGGCTTTAGGGGTTGAGGGTGTCTCTCAGCCGATGGGCTTGGAACCCATGCCTGGCACTGTGCGCGTTAATCGCCCGAGTGACAAGGTGCTGGCAGTGGCCAACCCACCTTCAGCTTTTGCCACGTTTGTAGGGGAAATTTCAGGTCAATTAATGGGGGCGCACGGCATGGCGCCAGGGGTCGCGCTAGCTACTGCCCAGGACTGCTGGCATAAGATGTTGCCCAAATTTCGGGATGCCGTTGAGCGCTATGCTGCGGCCGATGCCGTGACTTCAGTTGGGGAAGACGACGGCAAGTTTGAACCTTTAGGGCTTGGCGTCGTTCATGCCAGGTGAGAAAAAACCATGCTCGAACTCGCTCCCGTCGGCACCCACAGCCCCTGGCTGTTAGAATCTAGGAGCTTGTGTGCACACATGTTTCTGGTCACTTATAGCTTATAGCGTTAACACACATATGGTAGTAACGGCAACACGCCTTACACATGATTATATACATGCCACGTGCATTTGTGACGTGTGAAAGGCTGTCATGCTAACGACTTCAATAGTATGCCAAGGGTGCACCCAATGATGCACTGGGCGTGTCCTCCATTGTCTGATTGATTGAAGTATTTGCTTCATGATCGAATTTCTACATTTTTTCCCTACCTAGGCTCTGCCTAGAAGGGTTCTTACTGTATAAGCTTAAGGGCCGGGCAGTGGACCACGCCCCGGGCGGCTCCCCCGGCATCCGCCCCGCGGTTCCCCCAGTTACGTCCCGTTAGCTTAGCGTTGCTTATCTCATCTTAGCTTAGCCTAGCTTAACTTAGCTTAGCTTAGGTTAGCTTAGCCTAGCCTAGCCTAGCTTAGCTTAGCCTAGCCTAGTTTAGCTTAACTTGGCTTAGTTTAGTGTAGCTCAGCTTAGTTTAGCGCAGCATTAGCATAGCATATCATAGTATAGCATAGCATAACATATCATAGATGTCATAGCGCAGTATAACGTAGCATAGCATATCATATCATATACTAGTGCAACATAGCATAGCACATCATAGCATATCATATCATAGCGCAGTATGCCATGGCATATCATAGCATAACATAGCGCAGCATATCATATCATAGCATACCATAGCGCATCATATCATAGCATATCATAGCATAGCATACCATAGCGCAGCATATCACATCATGGCATAGCCTAGCCTAGCATAGCATAGCGCAGCATAGCATAGCATAGCTGAGCATAGCGCAGCATAGCATAGCATAACATAGCATAGCACAGCATAGCATAGCGCAGTACAGCATAGCATAGCATAGCCGAGCATAACATAGCGCAGCCTGACAAAACCCTAGCATAGCATAGCATAGCATAGCGCAGCATAGCGCAGCATATCATAACATATCATCGCATATCGCAGCATATCATAGCATATCATAGCATAGCATAGCTTAGCACAGCGCAGCATAGCATAGCATATCATAACATATCATAGCATAGCATAGCGCAACACAGCATCCACTATTGCTGCTGCTATATATAGATATATGTGTTGCTTTCCTAGAGGCTCCAACTCCTAGGTAAGGTCGCACTGGGATAATCTTCTTAGCCTAAAGCTCCCCCTGGGTCCCGTCGAGATCCAACGTGCCCGCGGCCGCTTGCAATCGACGTCTTCTGATGCTCCTGAATGCCCGCAGCAGTGGTCCCGAACCATTCTGGCACTCTGTTTGCGGCCCAAGGGTGTGGCGAGAAGTATCGGATATGATTATTGTGGGCCACCTTCAGATGCCAAGTTGCAAGCGCTGTTTGGGGAACTTCCTATTTGGACCCACCTTGTAGCGGCGCGCCCGTTTAGAATGATTCCCCTGTGGGCTCCCTGCCAAAACTCTGACCATGATTTTGACGCAAATCCAGCCGTGGCGACTGACGTGCCCGCAGACACTTAAACTTGTGGTGGACCACCCCCGCCCTCTGGGCGCTCGCCCTGACTGCCTCCCGCCAGGCGGACCTCGCGTGGACCGACGCGCCCGGGGACAACAACGACCGCGACTGGATCGCCCAGCACAAGCTGGTGGAGACGACGCCCCACACCCTCCCGCGCAAGTTCCCCGCCGAGAACAACAGCACCCACTCTGACAAGAAGGCCATGGAGGTGTTTGCTGGGAGCTGCAGGAGATTGGTGGGATCAAAGATAAACTTTTTGTTCTCTGGTGTCAGGCCGCCGTGTCTGAGCAATAACCAGGGGGATCTCATGGGCACCTGATAATGAGGATGGTCTCTTGGGGCTTTCCCTTCGGGGCTGCTGGCGCGAGGCTCCTGCACTTTTCTTCAATGCCTCCTGGGTTAAGGTGCCTCTGGCGCTTCTCGGAATCGCCCCGGGGGTGAACTTACATGCCCACAACAAGCGCAACGTGAATTTTCGACGCTTCGCCCGCCACCCCCATCAGTCCATCCAGAAACGCCGGTGCGACGGGAGTCTGACAAATCGACGACGACTGCACCCTGCCCACGAGCAAGACATGCACGTTGTAAACCACATTGCCTCTCTTGGCCCAGCTCTCTGTAACCCCTTCCTCATCCTCCTCCTCCTCCTCCTCCTCCTCCTCCTGGCCCGCCCTCCTTGCATTGTCATAGTCTCCTAATCCTCCTCCTCCTGGCCAACCCCTCCTTCTGTAATCGCTATTTCTCCGCCTCCGCGGCCTCCTCGTGGCCCCCGTCCTCGCTGTTTGTATTGTTTTTGTTTTCTGTTGCATTGCCCAGGTTGACGAATGCCTTAGTCAAGAGAGGCATCCCGACAGTTCCGGTGGAGATAGACATCGGAGGTGTAGAGCACGACATGACCCAGCCGTCCATTGTTGACACCATCCTCCGCACCGTCATGGTGCTTGGCATTGCGTTCGTTCACTTTGCTCCGCCGTGCAATACCTACAGTATTGCGCGCTGGCCCAAGATCCGCAGCAAAGTATTTCCTTTGGGCAAGTTCAACGTGACAGTCAAAGAGCTGAAGCTGCTCACGATGTCCAACTTATGTGTTAAACATATGTGTCAGATCATCGATAGGTTGTGTGACATGCGGGTGAGCTGGTCAGTGGAGAATCCAAATACTAGTATTCTGTGGCACACTCCATCATGGTTGAAGGTCTTGGTAGACTACGAGCCGACATTGATTCTTTGGCACATGTGCCAGTATGGTGAGATTTACAAGAAGCCGACGCGCCTCTACACTTGGGCGCCCGACACCAAGTTCTTCTTGGGCAAGCTCGCGAATACTTGCAATGGTGGCCACACGCACGTTTCTCTTTCAGGATGGGATTGGGACCATCCAGAGTTGCATACCGTTCCCACGCAGAAAGGTACATCGGCCTATCCGCTGCGCCTTGCCAACAAGTGGGCCAACCTCATCGAGCGCTACTTCCACGCGCTCAATTCTTCTTGAGGGCGGAGGGCGGTCGCTCTCGCCCGGCACTGTTTGTTGGTCGACGCATCACTGTTGCGTCGCCAAGGTGGGGTCGTAAACACTGCTCATTCTCCTCCTCCGCATCCTCCATCCTCCTCCCCCTCCTCCTTCTCCTCCTCCTCAAGGCGTTAGAACGCACGCCCAGGGGCTCCTCCTCCTCCTCCTCCTCCTCCTGCTCCTCCCCCTCAAGGCGTTAGAACGCGAGCCCCCATCTTCCTCCTCCTCCTCCTCCTCATCCTCATCGTCCTGAGGCTGGTCTTTCCGTCGCCACATCATACTCGGGGTGTCTCGGGGACTTAATCCATGTCTCGGGTACTTAGTGTCTCTTGGGGTCTTTCGTCTTAACAACGTATGTTGTCTCGGGAACTTCATGGGTGTCTTGGGTGTCTCGGTGACTTAGGTGTTGTCTTCTCGGGCACTTAGCTGTCTCTGCTGGCGTATCGGGGGCATAAGTGTCTTGGGTGTCTCGGTGATGTAGGTTTCTTGGGCGCCCATGGTGGGGTCTTATGGTGTGTCTTGATGAATATTGGGGATATGTGTCTAGAGTCCGCATGCGTCTTGAGGTGACTCTTTTGTGTCTAGAGTCCGCATGCGCCCAGATGCGTCTAAGTATGCGCTTCGATAATAATCAGAGATAGGGGACTTCAGAGTTATTTGGGGCGTAGCCATAATTTGTTTCCCGCGAGGTAAACTCCGACTGAACTGACTGAACTGAACTGCGGCGTGAACTGAACCGAACTGACTGGTCGCACCCACTACGCGACGGTTTTATCATCAGCGGCCGCGGGAATAACCTATGGCGCAACCCACAGGATGCGAAATTATTCTCGGCGACCGACGGCTGAACCTATCGCGCAACCAATGTGAAGGTTTATCTCTGGGCGGCCGATAGCGCAACCCATGGCGAAACCAATGATAGACATTTTTACTCTCGATGGCCGGGTGCGCGACCTACGGCTGCTCTACCAATAGGAGGCGATTTTCTCGGCGGACGAGGGCGCAACCTATGGCGCAACCAATAGAAGGCGGGTTCAGTCTCTCTCGGCGGCCGATGGCGCACCATATGTTAGCAACCAGAAGGCGATTTCGATACTCAGCGGTCGAGGGCGCAACCCATGGCACAACAAATTGGATACGATGTTATTCTCGGCGGCCGAGGGAGCGCCCAATGGCGCAACCAGTATGACATTGCTATATTCTCGGCGGCCGCGGGCGCAACGCATGGCGCGACAAGTAAGAGGCGAACGCCGACGACGACGAAAACGACGCCGACTGCCACCACCACTGCATACCCCATGGTGAGACCCAGAGCCACGACGAAGAGACTGACTATGGAAGCGACTGGCTGGACATCACTCGCGCGCGGTGCTGCGCCCGATTATGCTCGTCATTTGGGCTCGTGGCGGTTGGCGGGGCCCGCGCGGCGAGTGAGCTGCCTTGCGATTTCTGTTCAATGGTTGCACGTGTATGCTGTTGAATCGATTAGCGTGGATCGGTGCTCCAAAGGTGGGTGCGGCCGTCCGATCACGCCAAGCTGAAGCAACTGCCTGGTGTTGGTGGGACGACAGTCTCAGAGGTTTTGATATTTGGGTATCGGGGGTCCTGTGGTGGGTGCGGCGGGCGTGCCACGCCACGCTAAAGCAACTGCCTGGTGTTGGTTGGTGGGGCGACAGCCTCAGGGGTTCTGACCGTTGATTGTCGGGGCTCCTGTGGTGGGTGCGGCCGTTCCACCACGCCAGGCTACATGAATTGCCTGGTGTTGATGGAGCGGCAACCTCAGGGGTTCTGATCGTTGGGTGCGTCGACAGCAAGGGGGCGGGCTTACGCGTTGAGGGGGTCCGTCTGGGAAATCATCTTGGACGCCGTTTTGTCGGGTCCTCATGGGCGCAATTCTTTGGGGGGTCATCTTGGCCGGCGGACGTGTCGGGGGGGGCGTCTGAGAAACCGTCTTGGGGTGTGGACACCGTCAATGGCCAATTTGTGCTCTGCGATGTCTGGATCGACGCCTACTTTGCACACAGGAAATACCATCGCCACACCACCTACTCCACCCCAAATTATTGATAATATGTCAAGCATAATTTCTCGGCGGGTAATGGCGCATCCTATGCCGCAACCAATGAAAGCAAGTTTGCCCAATACACCATGCAATCACGCGCGCGCGCGCGCCGCCGCGTGGACGCGCGCGACCATCGGCGCGAGGGCCGCGCTAGCGCGCGCATGCAGGGTGCGAAACACATTGCACGCATGGATACCCTGTGCGCGCTGCACGCGCATGGACGTAACGCGCGCCATGAATTCACGTTGTAACTTGTTTGTATCGCTGTTGCTTGCCAGGTACCGGGCCTGAGCCGACGCGCGGGTGGACGTCCCCGTGCACTTTCGTCATCGCCAGCCGCGCGGACGTCACCGCCAACCATCAGCGGACATTCGTGTGTCCGCGAGTAGCAGTATGGTAGAACTTGTTGCATGATTCATTGTTGCAGCATTTGCATGTCCATCGTGGGCGCGTTACATAAGCACTTAGCAGGAACGTGAGCGTGCACACTTCGCGATGTGAACGTGCCGGCCCGCAACTGATTTATAGCATGCGATACGTGTATTGCGTGTCCGTGTGTGGTGAAAACTGTGTGAATTGGCGCAACCCTTCGTATGAGTGATACACTTAACGCACAGTCGAAGTTAGTCAACATGCGTGCGTCAATCTGCGATTGATAATCATACATATACATGAAATTTGCTTACGTGTGGGGACTATACCGAGTGAATTCCCGCCTGCCATATATGATCATGCAATCAAATTGCGTATTGACTTTTCACATGCGCCGAAATATGCTCACGCAGTGGCACATTTAAGCTGAATTCGCGTCTACGATACTAATGTATGGGCTACTAGATGTGTTGAGTGTGCGAATACATATGCCACAAACTCTAACAATATGTACATGTATATGTGCACGTATGCACATATATTGTCGTGCGTCGTTCGGGCGTCGCGCGCGACAGCACATACATCTGCGCGACGATGGAAAACGTGCAAACCCGTTATTGTCCGGAAAATTTCAAAAAAATTCCCTGGATTCATCGGAAAAACCGTTCCTACATGACCGCAACATAAGAGCGTTTTTCCGTTGAATCCGAGGTCGGATTCATCGGAAAAATGCTTCTATGTTGCGATCGTGGCATCTATGGACATCCATGGAATAACACGTCGCCAACATAGGAAGGTTTTTCCGTTGAATCCGAGGTCGGATTCATCGGAAAAATGCCCCCCTGGGTGTAACATAAATTTCCGGTCGAAATCTGGCAAAATGGAGAAAAAATTACGGCGGGATCCAGGGCGCGCAACATTTTTCCGTTGAATCCGAGGTCAGATTCATCGGAAAAATGAACTCGCCACCTGGGATTCATCGGAAAAATGAACTCGCCGCCGCCTCGGATTCTCGCGCCCACGGACGCGCGCGCAGTTTTTCCGTTGAATCCGAGGTCGGATTCATCGGAAAAATGAACTCGCCACCTGGGATTCATCGGAAAAATGAACTCGCCACCTGGGATTCATCGGAAAAATGGACTCGCCACCTCGGGCTCCGATCGCGCTCGCGGACGCGCGCGCGCAATTTTTCCGTTGAATCCGAGGTCGGATTCATCGGAAAAATGAATTCGCCACCTGGGATTCATCGGAAAAATGAACTCGCCACCTGGGATTCATCGGAAAAATGGACTCGCCACCTCGGGCTCCGATCGCGCTCGCGGACGCGCGCGCAATTTTTCCGTTGAATCCGAGGTCGGATTCATCGGAAAAATGAATTCGCCACCTGGGATTCATCGGAAAAATGGGTTCGCCAGCTCGGATTCATCGGAAAAATGGATTCGCCAGCTCGGATTCATCGGAAAAATGGACCCGCCACCTCGGCTTCAGATCGCGCTCGCGGGCGCGCGCGCAATTTTTCCGTTGAATCCGAGATCGGATTCATCGGAAAAATGAACTCGCCACTTGGAATTCATCTGAAAAATGAACTCGCCACCCGGGATTCATCGGAAAAATGGACTCGTCACCATCTCGGGTTCTCGCGCCCACGGACGCGCGCGCAATTTTTCCGTTGAATCCGAGGTCGGATTCATCGGAAAACTGAACTCGCCACCTGGGATTCATCGGAAAAATGAACTCGCCACCTGGGATTCATCGGAAAAATGAACTCGCCACCTGAGATTCATCGGAAAAATTGACTCGCCACCTCGGGCTCCGATCGCGCTCGCGGACGCGCGCGCAGCTTCTCCGTTGAACCCGAGGTCGGGTTCATCGGAAAAATGAATTCGCAACAGCCTGGGACTCATAGGAACAATGCGTTCGCCAACTCGGATTAATCGGAAAAAATGGGCCCGCCACCTCGGACTCAGATCGGGCTCGCGGCCGCACGTGCAACTTTTGCACTGAATCCGAGGTTGGGTTCATATGAAAAACAAATTCGCAACCGCCGCCTGAGGAGAACTATCGGACAACTGGGTTTGTCACCGCCTCGGGTTCATCGGAACAAATGGACTCGCCGCCGCTTCAGATTCAGATCGCGTTCGCGGGCGCGCGCGCAACTTTTCCGTTGACCCCGATGTCGGGTTCATCGGAACAAATGAATTTGCCACGCGCAACTCATCAGAAAAATGATTCGTCACCGCCTCGGATTCATCGGAATCATGGAGTCGTCACATCGAACTCGGGTCGCATTCATTGTCGCGCGCCCATGTTTTCCGTTGAATCAGAAGTCGTGTTCATCGGCCCTATAGCGAGACCCACCACAAGAAGCCCTAATGGGACCGCCAGCGCGCGTCATGTGCCATAGCCAATTCGGCGCGCCCCTCACACGCTTCGCGGCCCCACGTGCGGCTCCATCGACGGCCCCGCTGGGGCCGCCTGCATGCGTCACGCGCACCCAATTCGGCAAACCTCTTCTTCGCGAGCTCCATGG